TCACTCCTTAGGTAATTCCTTTAATTTTTTTTTTTATCTCTGTTTGCTTGTTGGGGGCCTTGCCTGGATTCTTAAGCATGTGGTGAGGACTCCTAACATGGGTCAACCCTTTCCTTCAGGTTTGCCCTGTAACACCTTCTGTCTCCCATTTTGTATACTCCTCTGCGTATGAGTCAGGATCCTGTAAGGGAGGAAAAGTAATTTCCCCTCTATCCTGCAGGGTTCTTGATTGAGAACTTCCTGTAATAAAAGGCCAATTAGTTGGAGAAAAATACATTTTAATAAACATGGATACCTCTTTGCATACCTGGGGAAGACCCAGGAAACCTGAGTAACCGCCAAAATGGCCTCAGCCATCTCTTCAGATAACATCTTCAACTACAGACAAAGGACAGAGGATAGGGGTATCTGTTCTGGGGGCCACCAGGGAAACCCAGCAACCAAGGGTGTGGGTGGTGTGCAGACTGAAGTTGCTGCCTCCTCCTTTGTCTGTTCTGGGGCATATAGGTTGTTTCCATATCTTAGCTAGCGGAAATAGTGCTGCAGTGAGCATAGAAGCCCAGGTTTCCTTTCAGATTAGTGCATTTGTGTTCTTTGTTTTTTTTATTTTTAAAGATTTTTTTATTTATGCATACAGGAGCTGGGGTTCAGGTCAGAGGTGTGGAGGGATCTCTTGCTAGGGGATGTAAAATTAGGTAGGATCATTAACTCAAATTATCACATACTTGGTAAGCAATTTTACCCTTTAAAGATAGTTTGGAAATTATAAGACATTTATTACCATTTTTTATTAACATGATTTTTTTTTTAAGATTTATTTATTTATTTATACAAGCACTGGGTACAGTCAGAAGTGCGGGAGGGTGAGAGAGTTCACCAGAGCCAGAGCTGCGAACAGAACAGGCAGACTGATGAAACACACTGCTGAGGGGAGCAGCAGGTGCAGCAGGAGAGGTCTACGCACCATGTGGGACCCTCGCCGGCAGCCAGGGATCGAACTGGCGCTGCAGAGGCTGCAGGCAGCTTCGCAGCCCAGCGCTCAATAGCTGAGCTACCAGGGGAGGCCCTATTAACATGATTTTTATGATTCTTCAAACATCTTCACTTTAACTATAATCAACTTTGTGCATTCACCTAAGTAGTAGGTTTCTTCTGTAAAGCCATTTTTATGCATTGTCTTTTGCAGTATAGCAAATCATCGCAAAGTGACTTAAAAACACAGTTTTGTATTTGCTTACAATATAGGCTGTGCACAGGTGGGATAGCTTGCTCATATAAGGACTTCCACTGAGGGATCCAAGGTATCTGTTTTATACCTGGAGCTTGATCTTTGATCAGAGAGATCTAAAACATTTAATCTTGTCCCACTACTTTACTAAAATTTTTCTTCACTTTTATCCCAAACAAAATGTGTAAATTTATTTAAAAAGTATATACTACCAGTAAGATTGCTTTCCTTTCAACTTAACATATGATAAAGAACAAATTGTAAATATTACATCCTCAACAGAGTCTCCTGCTCATCCCTAGGAGACCACTGTTTTAGATGATTTTCCTAATGACCTAATTCTCATCTAATTCTCATTTTGGTTAGGTTAACAGTGAGTCTGAGAATATCTGAGTTATCACAATAGTTTTTTCCTAATATACATAACAGTACTAGTGACTGACAGATGGTCTATACAAGATTTCCAAGACCCAGGAATACCTTACAGCTCTGTCCTCCTCAGTATCTTATGGGTACTCTCCATTTTATCCAGTGGATGAATTAAGATCCAAGGGAGATGACACAGACCTTGGAGTAGCACACATCTCTTGTCCCCATATCCAAAGGACAGTGCCACACACAAGAATAGGCCCACACCCCAACTACTGGGCATGGTACCAGGGATGGGATCCACCTAGATGCCCCATTTCCAGGACCCACCCCTATGCCTAGTGGTAAGTGGTCCCACGGGGCTTGAAGTTAAGTTGGAAAATAAGGGGCAAACTACCCTCTATTCTTTTACTAGTTATCAATGATGAATAAAGCTACTGCTTTGTCCTTGATTTGGGACTGTCTGATCAAATCAACAAGTAGACATTTTTAGAGATGAGGCAGGATGTGAAAACGCCATGAATTGGGACTATATCACATTAAAAAGCTTTTTACACAGCAAAATATCAACACATGCAAAATAAAGACAGCCTGCTGAATGGGGGAGGATATTTCTACAGCATACATTTGATAAAGAGCTAATATTCAAGGTTTGTAAATAACTCTTACAGTTCAACAACAATTTTTTTTAATGGACAGAAGTTCTGAATAGATACTTCTCCAAAGAGGACGCACAGATGGCCACCAGAAACAAGAGAAAATTTTCATCATCCCTATAATTAGGGAAATGCAAATCAAAACCACAATTAAATATCATCTCACACTTGTGACACTGACTTACATAAAAAAGATTAGTAATGGGCCTCCCGGTGGCGCAGCGTTGAGCACTGGGTTGCGAAGCTGCCCACAGCCTCTGCAGCACCGGCCACCGGGTGAGGGTCCCACATGGCACGCAGACCTCTCCTGCTGCCCGCTGTTCCCCTCAGCAGTGTACTTCGTCACTCTGCCTGTTCTACTCTCTGCTCCGGCTCTGGTGAATTCTCTCACCCTCCCGTGTCTCTGACTGTACCCAGCTCTTGTATAAATAAATAAACAAATCTTTAAAAAAAAAAAAAAAGATTAGTAACAATAACAATGAGTGTAGACAAGAATGCGGAGAAAAAGGAACCCCATACACTATTGGTGGGAATGTAACTTGGTGTGACCAAGTATGTAAGGTTCTCCAAAAAATAAAAATAAAAATAAAACCACATGATAGAGCAATCCCACTTCTGGGTATCTCTTAAAAATGTGAATTTATTAACTTTCAAGAGTTATATCCACCACAGTGTTTGTTATAGCGTTATTTATAGTTGCTAAGATATGGAAACAACCCATTGACAGAATTGTGGGCCAAGATGTGATGTATACATACAATAGAGTACTATTCAGCTATAAAAAGTAGATGAGATATTGCCATTTGCGGCAAGTGGAAGGAACTCAAGGGGATTAATAAGGAGACAAAACACATTAATGAACAAAACAAAATAAAAATAAGCCAATGGATGTCAACAGAACTGAGGTGATCAAACAGGGTGAGTATGGAGGCTGGCTGGGAGTAAGGATGGAGGTGTCCAGTTAATGATGACTGATGTTTCATATTAAATAATTTAAAAATTAAAAATAAAGGAGACATTATTCCAAATTATATAACCATTAATTGATTCTGTTAAAATTATATAAATTCATAGATGTAGTAATGAAGCCTTAGATGTTGCCTATTGTGATGAAACAGTTGAGTGGCTTTAAAAATATTTCTCAAGTGTACAATGAGAAAACTGTGGTCAATAACATAACACTATGTTGCAAATAAGAAAATGCATGAAGTATTAAGTAATATTTATTAATACTTTATTAAGAGAGGTTCTTAGACCTCATTAACAGCAAAGAGACAATTGATATCAACTTACACATGGTTGTAAAAAATACATGTTTGCAAAAAACAAAAGCAACTACAAACAAAAATGGTTGTTTTAATAGAAAATTTGGCTCTGCTTGTGAAAATGACAGCAGAAAATATGAACATTGAAAGAAATGTAGCAAAGACAGAGTGTGGCATGGTCACATTCAACTGTTTTTTTGATAACAGTTTCAAACATAAGAAAATTTTTTTAAAAATGGGTCCAAAAAGTACATAGACTAAAGCTTCACAGTTAAGAGAAAAAATCATTAAATGAAAATGGCCATGTGGGAAAGCAGTCCAGCAAACCTATAAAATGTATTTCAGTAAGTTGGTGACAGTCACAGAGTATCCTAACTTAGCCCCACCAGAAGCTTAAGATCACAGCCTAGGTGGGAAGATGAGAGGATAAAAGAAAGGATATTCATATTTTTAAAAAGTGTATTACCCATAGACACTATGAAAAAAAGTATAACAGTTTCTCAAATATTAAAAACCATTATATGATATTTATCTATGATATTATATATGATGTCATGTGATCATATGATATCTAAAACTATTATCACATGACAGCAGTTCACAAAGGAAAGCAGAATCAAACAGGTATTTGTTGTACATGTTTATAGCAACGTAATTCACAAGAGTCAAAAGGTGAAAGCTATGTAAATGTCCCTTGACAGATAAATGGATAAACAAAATGGGATATACATACAATGGAATATTATTCAGCTTTAAAAAAATGATTCTGACACATGCTACAATATGGATGAAACTTGAGGACATTATTCTAAGTGAAATAAGCTAACCACAAAACACCAAAAACTGTTATTACATTTAGATGTAATGTTTAGACTAGTCAAATTCATTGAAGAAGGAAATAAAATGGAAGTTGTTTAGCACGATTGAACTATACTAAATAGATTGTAAATTTTTATGTATTTTGAATAATAAAAAATTGTTACCCAAAAGTGAATCTGTGTAATTCTTTAAAAAGCCAATATTCACTTAGACATTTGCTCTTACGGAAAAGATGGAGACTGTAGATTATATAAACATGATATGTTCACCCCGATATAGTGTTAACATTAGAATAGAATACAATAAAACCAAGAGCTTTTATACCGTCTACTGGTTTATGCTTCCAATACAAATCTTAAAATGACATCGAATGATTCAGAAATAAACTTTGTATCTTATTAAAACAGCTATCTTATTAAAATAGACAATTTAATTTTTTTTAACAATTACATGGCCCAGACTGCTCATGTCACTTAATATTAGTCATAAAAAGTCTAGGTCTCTGGACTCAAAAATATCATTATATATTACTTTCTTTTAAAATAAAACAAGAATTTGAAGTTCCTATCTACAATTTAATCAGTTTGATACCTATAATTTCCTACAAATATTTCTGCAAATACTAATTTTTGTTTTTTAAACAATCTATTAACTAGCATATATTAGCTTAATGGGATTTAAGACAAACTCTAAACTGCTTCCTGATAGATTTATAGTCCTATCATGGTGTCATTGATGTTGAAAACATTTTAACTAATTTCCTATGTAAAATAAATTCAAAGTATAATTTTTGTCATTGTTAGATTTCTAAGAAATAGCATTGAATCATTTCAATAAGCAAGTATGTACGGTTTTCCTGTTAAATTAAAAAATATGAACACTACATATTACAAAAAAGGAAATTCTACAGATCATGTATTTGACATGAAGACTTCCTCTTTGAAGTTTTTCATTATTTTAAATTTTCCAGAAGAAAAATAGCTGGAGTTTTCCCTGGAGAATAAGGCTAAATAAGTCTATGCATTAGGAGCGCCCTCTCTTGGTGAAATAAAGATCCCCACGTAGGGCCTCCTAGGTGGCTCAGGCTTTGAACACAGCACTGTGAAGTGTCCGCAGCCTCTGCAGCTCGGGGTTCCATCCCTGCCTGCCGGGGGGATATCCACATGGCACAGCAGACCCCTCCTGCTCCCCTCAGCAGTGTTTTCATCCATCTGCCTGTTCTGCTCCCTTCTCTGTCTCTGGTGAATTCTCTCACCCTCCCATGCCTCTGACCTCTACCCCAGTTCTTGTATAAAATAAATCTTAAAAAAAAATACCCCAGGTAATTAGGATTGACCTCTCTGTGACATTGCTGACTTTTGCATGACCCCAAGTCATTAAGATTGACCTCTCTGTGAACTCACTGACCTCTGCATGACCCCAAGTGACTAGGAGAACCAACTCTGAATTCACTGAAGTCTACACCAAGCTCACTGACCTCTTCATGAACTCACTGACCTCTGCATGACCCCAAGTAATTATTTTGACTTCTCAGTGAACTCACTGACTTCTTCATGACCTCAAAGCAATTAGGATTGACCTCTTGGTGAACTCACTGACCATGATTCCTAGTGATTAGGAGAACCAGGCTGTGTAAATTTGTATAAAATATTTTCTCTGGAGAATTTTTTTCATTTTCCAGTATGTTTTATTTTCCCTATAACCTGGATGCAATTAACTCAACACTATTTAAGTCTCACTTTATAAACTATTTCCATATTTGTGAGGATGCACATTCTAGTAACTGAGAAACTAAACGTGAATATTATACCAACAAATTTACTCATTGATGTAACTACAAAAAAAAGTTAAAAGAAACATGTGGAGTTTAACAGTATAGATGTTGGTCCTCTCCTGAGCTTACATAAAAACAAAGTTACTCGACTCCTCTGTCCTAATGTGCTACCACCAAAACAGCCAGCCCATAGTTTTATCTCTATGGATGATTCACTCCCTTACGATGAAGAAAACCCCAAAAATACCTACCCAGGAGGCAATATCAGGACTCAGAGCAACTCGTACTGAAATCTTATCTTAGTCCTAGACTACAGTGTTGACCAAGAGAAGACACGGGTTCTCATTAAAATTTGTTTTAATAGGTCTCAAACTTCTGACAGGTTTTGGGTCAAGTTGTTTCCACTAAAAAATACTGATTTAAACAAGGAATAACTTAAAGCTGCCACACAAAAGAAACCAAATCGTCCACAAAAATATTCTCCTTTCCTTGTGAAGGTTTTACAAGGCATTTGTTATCATTAACTAATGGAGACCAGCTCCAGTGAGCAAGGTTGAGGAGAAGAACCTGAAAGAACTTTGGAATAAAGAAATGACAGACACAAAATAGGGTTTAAGAGAAGCAGGACCTAGGGGACACAAGACCTCTCATTCTGAGCTCAAGCATCCCGAGTGCCCAATGCAACTCATTTTTATTGATACAAACCGCCTTCTCCCCTCCCCCATTAGTTACTAGACAATGAATCATTTTCTTAGAGTTTGGCCTTGTTCAGGCACACATTCACAGCCCCAGGCTCTGCGTTATTGGGTATATTCTACTCCCTGTCTAATCTTGCTTGCTTCTCAGGCTTAGCTTTGCTGACACAGGAAAGGACATCATGTTCTGGACACAGGCCATTCTTCCAGCCCGTGTTGACCAGTCTTCCAGTCACGATCCCAACATTCTCCTTGTCCTAGCATTTCATGCCTTAGAGGTCTGCAACATTTCCCCCAATTTTGTTTTTTAATACAGTCTTGACAGTGAATATGGTGGCAATGTTTAGTTGTTTCTGCTCCCACGTGCTTCTTCATTAGCTTTTGTAGAGGACTATGCAGAGTAACGTATGCAAAAACAAGGGTTAGTATAATGAATGATGGGGTGCTCCCTTTTACAGGGAGATCAGCCTGGCCTCAGCAAAAAGAGTTTTCTGCAACAGGCAGACAGGGCTTTTAAAATGATAAGTAAAAATTAACAAAAACAATAAACCTATACCAAACAAAATCTAAACTCCAATATCTCAATACAGTTTTGTTGGATTCAGCCAATAGGCAATGTCATTCAAATGTGCCAATGTGGCATTTTGTGCTTCCTGCTGCAACCGTGTCAATTGTTGCTGTAGTCTCTCTTCAAGGTCCATGACATGGAGTCCAAGGTTACTATGGAATGCATCGTGATGTCTTTGAACCGCTTCTCAGGAGGGACTGTACCAAAAGCAATAGGAGTTAGATAGAATGGTCTCACAACAAATCACAATTGAGTCCGGTGCCCTGCTGGTGTTCACCAAGTCAGCACACAGCAGCCTCAAGGACATCAAGTCTTGATCTGATGTTCCCAAGGACTGTGCAGTCTATGGGAAGGATCCTCCTTTCTCCTTTTTGACTCATGGGTGGTATCCTGGGTGGCGGCTGGACGACTGATGGCTGGAGCTCTGGAATAAGATTGGTCCTTTTCTGCTGGAACCCAAAGTGGTCCTGTAGGTGATAACATACCCTCTCCCCCAAGTTAAATGTTTTAAGGTCCCAGCCAAGTTGGTCCTCACAATGGATGGTCTACGTCCCAGGGCCCAGGACCTGGTTCCTCTGGGACAAAAAGTTGTTCCACTGCTGTGAGGCCAGAAAAATTAGGAATGAGATGTTGCTCAGCAGTTGTTATGCCAAAGCAATTGCAATTCAAGAATCTAAAAGTAAATAAAACTTTGCAAAAAGTACCCATGGGGGCAAGTTATCCTCTAGACTCCTTCTTTGTTGTTTTCTTAAGTGCAGATCCCAGGGTGTAGGCTTAGGAGACAGTTTTTTGCAGGGTTTCATTGTATGCTAGAGAAGCAACAACCACTTACCAGTATTGTCCATGAATGTCCAGTGTGGCAGTCCTTCATTCCTGGAAATTAGTCTGTCAGTCTATGGCAAAAGGAAAAACATCAGGAGGCATTAGCCAAAACAAAACAGCAAATATATCTAAATCACCATAAGAAAAAAAAAATCTTAAAACTGGTTCAACCTATCTAAAAACAAATTCTCTCCATTCTGACCCCCAATTTTATCAAACAGTACAGCAAAATATTTGTAAACTAAATCTACTTTCAGACTACTTTTGCATAAAACCACAGGGCAGAATAACCAAACAGCAATTTTAAATGGCTTTGCTGGAATACTCATGTAGGATCAGAGTGAACTCTTGACATTGGGTCCATGCAGGCTCCAGGAACAAAGTTGGTTTCATCAGACTCACGCGGGGTTTCCTTTTCTCAAGGTTACCAGGATTTTTTCTTTTTCTGGGTTGTCCAGTCCTGCCCATGGAGGCAGCTTCCTCACCTTTTTTGGAGGTCTCTGGAGCCCTACAAACAAAGCAGCAGGTTCTTCTCTTCTTGGTTCAGCTCAAATTTAACTTTATGGAAGAATTTCAATCAAAGTCACACAATGAGACACGTTCCCAATTTTCTAGGTTAAGCAGACAAAACTCCCTATTGAACTTATGCAAAAATAGACACTGCCATGAGTAGTAAAAATTACTTCCACTTTTTCATTTGTGTTGGTATTAAGGGGAGGGAAAATGCAAACACAAATTAGCTCTGCTTATCAAAGAAATGTAACATTGGGGCCTCCCCAGTGGTGCAGCGGTTGAGCACTGGGTTGCGAAGCTGCCCGCAGTGCAGCACCGGTTCGATCCCTGGCTGCTCCCCGGCCACCAGAGGAGGGTCCCACATGGCGCGCAGACCTCTTCTGCCGCCCGCTGCTCCCCTCAGCAGTGTACTTCGGTCCCTCTGCCTGTTCTGCTCCCTGCTCTGGCTCTGGTGAATTCTCTCACCCTCCCGTGCTTCTGACTGTACCCAGTGCTTGTATAAATAAATAAATAAATAAATAAATAAATCTTTAAAAAAAAAAAAAAGTAACATTGCTGCAGAAGCCTAGTCAGTTAAAACAAACTTTAAGTCAAGACCAAAATGCAAAAAAAAAAAGTCACCAGTATTATGTCAAGCAAAACATGTCAAAAATCAGGTTTATCTCTGTCTATTTAGTCCTTTGCAGGAAATTTTCATTGTCAAAAGGTCCATCAAGGGCCTCCCCTGGTAGCTCAGGTCGCTGAGCACTGTGCTGTGAGGCTGTCCACAGCCTCTGCAGCGCTGGATCGATCCCAGCCAGTGATTGTCCCACATGGTGCGGCAGACCTCTCCTGTCTTGCCCGCAACTCCCCTCAGCAGTGTGTTTCGTCAATCTGCCTGTTCTGTTCCCCGCTCTGTCTCTGGTGAGTCCTCTCACCCTCCCGCGCATCTGACCTATACCCCGGTTCTTGTATAAATACATACATACATACATACATACATACATACATAAATATTTTTTTAAAAAAGGTCCATCAAGTGGAATCATTTGAGGTCTTTTTCTAAAAACAATTTCCTTTGGAAACAATTTTTCCAGGTATTAAACCAAGAGGTATATAATATTGCAGGACAAAAATAAAAAATTGACAATTTGTATACAGATCAGATACTGAAAGCTTTTATACAAGTTTCAGAAAACCAAATGCTTCCCTTTTAGTTTTTTTTTTTAAGATTTATTTATTTATGCATACAAGAACTAGGGTGTAGGCCAGAGGGGTGGGGAGGATTCACCAGAGACAAGAGTGGGGAACAGAACAGGCAGACTGACTGAAATACACGGCTGAGGGGAGCAGCGGGCACGACAGGACAGGTCTGCTACGTCATGTGGGTAGCTCCCTAGCCAGGGATCAAACTTCCACTGCAGCGGCTGCAGACAGCTTCATAGGTTGTGTCTTCATGCCTCACACCACCAGGGAGGCCCTTCCCTTTTAGGTAAACCAAATAGGTAAACCAAGTAGGACAAACTTGTCTAATGCCTTTCCCAGGAGGAGAGGGAGCACCTCCGGAAGTGTCTCAGGAACTCTACTGAGCTTTCACAAAATCTCCTCTGATCAACCAAGTGACAGACTACCAAATTTTACTTGAATTTAGATTGTTGGGAAGCTTTGTCATAAGTATTAGAAAACAGCAGCAACAACGATATTTAATCATTCATTTCAAGATTTATTTATGCATATAAGAACTGGGGTGCTGGCCAGAGGTGGGGGGGTAGGTCTCACCAGAGACAGAGTGGGGAGCAGCACAGGCGGATCCACTGCAGCGGGGAGACAGGGGAGGTTTGCTGCGCCCTGTGGGTCACTCCCCGGCTAGGGCTGGGCCTCAGGCCTTCTGGCTGGTATCGGCTGAGACTCCACGCTCAGGCCACCACGGAGTCCGCCTTGGAATCTTGTCTTAGACCAGCAATCAACCAAATCCAGAACTGGAATGGAAAATGTGCCCCAAACAAATTTTGTAGACAAAATTTACCAACAGCAAATCATCACTGTTCTCGGGGCTCCCCTGTCCCCATGGCACCGCGGGTCTGAGCACGACCAGCACCTCCCGGGAGGTCCTAAGGGGCCGGTGCCGCGGGGCCATGGGGGCTGCGGGAGAGCCAGGCCGGGAGGGCGGGGCGGGCAGGCCGGAGCCCGGAGGCCTCTCGTGGCAGCGCCCAGCCCATACCGACCTCGTCCTGCCGGCCCCGCGTGGCCGCTGGCGGCCACCTGCACACCCGCGGGGAGCCCCAGAGCCCAGTCTCCTCCAAACAGAGAGTCCACGGGGAGCTCGGGAAGCCTTGGGACCCGGTTCCCAAAAGGCCTCTCTGGGATCCAGCTCCTGGAGACTCGCTGAGCGCGCGCTGCGCGTGGGCATCGCTGCTCAGTCCCGCAGGCCAGGCCTCCCTGCCGCTCCCCTGGGCAGGGTTTTCCCTCAGTCCGCCTGTCCTGCTCCCGCTCTGTCTCTGGTGACTCCTGTCACCCCCCACGCCTCTGGCCTGTACCCCAGTTCTTATATGCATAAATAAATCTTTAAAAAAAAGGGGGGCTACCCAGTGGCGCAGCGGGGTGAGCGCAGCGTTATGAAGCTGTCCACAGCCTCTGCCTCGCTGATTCGATTCCCGGCCAGCCAGGGAGAATCCCACATGGCGAGGCAGACCTCCTCTGTCTCGCCCGCTGCTCCCCTCAGCAGTGCTTTTGGTCCGTCTGCCTGTTCTGCTCCCCTCTCTCTCTGTAGTGAATCCTCTCACCCTCCCGCGACTCTGGCCTGTACCCCAGTTCTTGTATAAATAAAAATAAATCTTAAAAAAAAAAAAAAGGAGGCCAAGAGTATCAGACAAAATCGGGCTTTATTTAAAGTCCATGAGGTGAGGACGCTCTGCAGGCCAAGAGTCACGTTCCAAAACCGGAGCGCAGGTCTTTAAAAGGTTAGGCTGCCAGAGTTTTTGGCACCTGAGCATTGAGTGTGGCCTGGTCTCTCCTGCCTGGAGGCAATGTGCTAGATTTCCTGCCGGGGGGCTGGGGTCTCTCCAGACAGGAGGGTCTATAACAAGGTGGTCCCCAGGAAAAGGGGAAGTTCCAGAGTCCCTGCCCCATCCAAAGTGTTACAGGGCAGGAAGAGGGAGGGGCACCCCAGACCAGGCAAACCTACCTACTCTAAATGGGTTCTGCCATCCGCTGCATCAACACAAAACAAATGAGACTTTAATGGGAAGGAACTTTAATACAATTAGTGAACAATACAGAAAATACAAAGAATATAGTTTCTAAATCAAGCACCCAAAGTTACCTGTCCCCTCATGGGTAAAAGTCCACCCAAGCAGGATTGGTCCAGAACAAGGCCCCAAAGCCTGCCACAAGTCTAAAGCATTTTCCAGTAGGGACCCACAGAAAAGGATCAGAAACAACCAGACAAGTCTGAGAGGAAAAGAGCAAAATCAAAATCAAAACAAAACCCGCCATTGTCACCTCCCCACGGGTCTCTCACCCACATCTGTGTCACCCAGTTCACAACCTCTGCAGCTTCTTCTCTCTGCTCAGCTCCCCCCTCCTTTTGTGTGGGGCAGGAAATCTGGAACCTCCCCCTTTCCTGGGGACCACCCTGTTACAAAATGAGGGTGGAGCTAAAGAGAAGTAACTGCAGAGCAGATGGAGAAGGAAGCAGGATGGAGCCAGAAGGAGACCTCGAGGAGGCACGTGGAGCCGAGAGACATGTGAAGAAACTGCACTTGTCTTTTGGTCCTGGACTGGTTGAAACAGATGTGGGTGAGACTCATGGGGAAGTGACAATGGCAGCTTTTATGTTGATTTTGCTTTTTCCTCCCAGACTTGTCTGGTTGTTTCTGACCCTTTCCTGTGGGTCCCCACTAGAAGGGGCTTTAGATTCGTGGCAGGCTTTGGGGCTTTGCTCTGAGCCGATCCTGCCTGGGTGGACTTTTACACAGGAGGGGATGGTTAACTTTGGGTGCTTGATTTAGAAACTATATTCTTTGCCTTTCCTGTACTGTTTACTAATTGTATTAAAGTTCCTTGTCATTAAAGCCTCACATGTTTTGTGTTGATGCAGCAGATGGCAGAACCAATTTACAGCAGGTAGTTTTCCTGGGTCTGGGGTGCCCCTCTCCCTGCACTGTAACAGGTATGCTGGAGTATTCACTGCTGTCAGTTTATCTCTAGTTTAGCTTATCTCTGGCAACTTGGGGGCAGTGATGAGTTTTACATGGGCCTGTGTGTACTCTCTTCACCCTTCCGGGCGACTCTTCAGCGCGGCCTGCATGGAAAGGCTGTCACCAGGCTCTGCAAACACACATGCCCCACGTGCACATCTTGGATCTCTTCCCTCCATCGTTCTGCCCAGAATGTCCCATGCCAGGCGTGACACAGCATAAGCCATCAGCTCACGCCTCGACCTTGTCTCAGGAGTCCCCCTTCCAGACCACCCCTGAGCCCACAGGTGTTAGCCATGGCTTTTGTAGGATGCCCCGCAGAGGAACCCTTTTCTTTGAAAAAAAAAAAATTATTTATTGATGCATACAAGAACTGAGGTGCAGCCTAGGGGTGGGAGGGGAGATGGTGGTGAGAGGATTCCTCAGAGACAGAGTGGGGAGCAGAACAGGCAGACTGACTGAAATACACTGCTGAGGGGAGCAGCAGGCTAGTCAGGAGAGGTCTGCTGTGACTTGTGGGCTGCTCCTGGCCGGTGGGGGATCTAAGTCCTGCTGCAGTGGCTGGCCAAAACTTGATAGCACTGTTTTTAACCCCTGCGCCACCAGGGAGGCCCATACAAGATGATTTGATTATTCAGCTTAGCAAACCTGAGTTGTGTAAGAGATTTAGCCAACATTGAAATCATGATTAAAACAAAAAGTTCAAGGCATCAGTCCTTCTGCCCACCTGGGCCTATGCGGGTGCTCCTTTTAGCCAACTCTCTCCCACCACAGGGCAGCAGGCTGCCTGCCTGTCGGAGACCTGCCTGGGGCCAGGGATTCTCTCAGCTGACAGCCCTTGGCAGAGGCAGCTGCTGCTCAAGGCCACCGGCTGGTGACCATGAAACACCAGGGGGTCCACCAAGCAGAGCAGGGGACACACACCCTGCCCCCACCTACCCAGATCGCCCCCCCACCCCCTTATTTTCAGCTCTGTGCTCGCCCCTCCCCCTCCCCCCTCCCCTTATTTTCCGCTCTGGTCATCTTCTGCTCCTTGCTCTCTGTCGCCACCTTTATTTTCCAGCCCCTGAGGTCAGGTTGCCTTGCACCAATGCCACACCTTCCGCCAGGTGCCCACCTGGTGCTCACTCCCAAAGGCCCCTTATTTTCACAGCCGCCGGTTTGCCACCAAGGCGTTCAGCGCAAACGCCAAAAGGCAGTGATCCTCCGTTACCCCTCCGTCCCTGCCCCCCCAACACCCCCCCCCCCCCCCCCCCGCCACTGCTGACTCTGGACGGTCTCCACCTGGTTTCTCTTGGCCACTGAGCCCTGCAGCCACGACCCACACAGGAGAGCGGCGCAACTGAGCCCAACACCACGACAGACACAGCAGAAACCCGCCACTTCCAGACAGGGCACCCCTGAGGGCAGAAGGAGGAGCGCGTTTTCAAATCCCCCCCACCCCCCATGATCGCTCTCGACTGTCCCCCACAGCCCAGCTCCCCCCAGGGGAACCACTGCTCAGTCTCCAGGCCTCGGCACCGGCCACACCCCACCTCGCACCCCCCAGCTGCGCGCACTCTGAGGTCTGAGACACTCAGCTCTCTTGGGGTGACCGCCCAGCCCCAGGGGTACTCACTGCCGTCCCGCCGCCCCTGGCTCTCGTCACCACGGCTGCCAGGCGGCCCCCGCGCCCAGGCCCGCCCTTCGCCGGTGAGGCGGCCCGGCCGTGGAGACCGCGCTCCCCGCGGGGCCGCCCCTGTGCCCCTCTCCGCCGTGGGCTCCCCCACAGGCCAGGGCCCCACTGAGGTTCCTCCGCACCTCCCCCTCACTCTGCAGCCGGCGGGCCTCACCCACGGGCGCCGCGCGGGGGCTCAGCTGCTCCGCGAGCGTCCTCGGCTGCGCGCCCCACACTCAGGGGCCGGGCCGCGCCCGCCTGGCTGGGCTGAGCGGCTTTTTGAGACTCTCCCGCCGGCTGCGGAGAACCTCCCCCCGGGCCGCTAAGGGCACCCCGACTCTCCTCTCCGGGGGCGCACAGATGACCCCCTCCTTCCTTCCTCCCCAGGGCACCGCAGACCCGGCATCCACCCGCCCCAGTGCCCAGCCTCTGTCGGGATCCTGAGTCCCCGTCCGTCCGCGGCGGGTGCCCGGGCGAGCGCAAGGGGCGTCGGGCTCCGGCTCCCCGCGGCGTCTGCGGCCCGGGGTCCCGGGCGGGTCCCGCCGGCAGCTCCCTCCCTCCCCGAGGTCTCCTCCCGCAGCTCCCGGCCGCGTCCGCCTCCTGCGGGGCCGCGGGGCCTCCGGGGTCGTCCTCCCGCCACGGGCAGAGCTTCTTGGGCCGCTCACCCCAGCCCCGCCCCGAGCGGCCCCACGTCGGTCCATCGCCGCGCGGTGCGCACAGTCCCCCGCCCGGGTCGCGAGCCCCGCGGAGAGGAGGCGCCCCCCGCCCCCCGCTTGCGCCCGAGCTCTCCCGAGGCCGCGTCCGGGTCCGCGCCGGGCCCTGCCGCCAGGAGGGGGGCTCCGGAGGGCTCCGGGCACACGGGCGGAGGGTCCTGGGGCTCCCGGGGCTGGCGTGGGCCTTTCGCCTTCTCTCCCCCATCGCAGCGGGGCGCCCGGGGGCTGGCGGGCAGGAGGCGGGCGCGGGGGAGGCTTCCGGCGAACCCAGACTCCCCGGCTCTCTGGGCGGGCGCAGCGCGGGCGGGCGGGGGCTGAAGGGCCGGGATCCCCGGCTGAGGTGCGGGGGCTGAAGGGCGGGGCAGACCCCCCAGCCCCCGGGGGATCGTGACTGTCTGGGCTCTCCGCGGCGTTGCCGAGGGGTCTCCCCCTCTGCCCGCCGCTGCGCGCCCCCTCTCGCAGGGGCCGGAGCCCGCCCGACCGCGGGGACGCCTCCTTATCTGCTCCGCCCCCCGCGCTCCCAGGTGTGCGCCCTCACCTGCCCCAGCGCCCCCGCGGGCAGGGCCCAGGTGATGGCCGCAGGGGCCCTGGCGCCCGAGCAGGAGCGGCTGCCTGTACCCTAGACTCCTGCTCACTCAGCCCCACGACGGCGCGGGCCCTGGATCTGCTCAGGGCTTCGCTCCATGAAGGGTCGCGGTGTCTTGTCTGTGTTTGGGGAGAGGCCTTGGGAAAGTGACTGAGGCTCAGGTGACTGCAAACCCGGGAGACTTTCCCAGCAGCTCAGGTGCCCCCGTCTCACTCTCAGAGCCCGCCTCACCGAATAGTGACCCTCCCTGCAGCACCCCGCGTGTTCTCATCACAACCCTCCATTTTGCATTTAACCAGAATATTCCTGCTCCCACTGGGCGAGAGCATCTGCTTCCATCCGGTGGACTTTTCTGTTTGGCATCTGTTCCTGACACCGCTCCTCGTTTTCACACCATGATGGGTTTAGTGTGTGCCCCTGCCTGCACCTTGGGGGTCTTTTCTTTTTTTTTTCAAGATTTATTTATTGTGTATATAAGCACTGGGGTGTAGACCGGAGGTGGGGGTGGGGTGGGTGAGAGGATGCACCAGAGAGAGTGGGGAGCAGAACAGGCAGATCTACTGAAATACCCTGCTGAGGGGAGCAGCGGGTGGGACCGGAGAGGTCTGCTGCTTCCTTATGTGCTGCTCCTGGCCGACAGGGGATCCATCTCTTGCTGCAGTGGCTGGCAAGAGCTTGATTGCGCTTTCTTTCACCCCTGCGCCCCCAGGAAGGCCCTGTGGGGGTCTTTTCTGTTTGACTCTTTTGCTTTGGATTTCATGTTCGTGCAATTTTTATTTATTTATTTATTTCCCATTGCCCTCATGGCTGCTGATCAGTTTGTTTCCCCAGACTTAGGAGGTGTTCAACCAAGGGGAAAATCAAATTACCATTTCTATGGCGGGATACCAAATAACCATGACAAAAACAGGCCAGTATTTCAGCTTCCACGCCACCCTCCGCCCCTCCCCCACCCCAACGTGCGCACATAGGCCCTCCTGACGGGGCTCACCTCACTTGCTTCTTAGAGTCCAGTTGTTTTTCTAGGAATTTTACTTTTTTTTTTTCTCACCTGCTATGTCAACGCGGATATTTGTCTTTGTCATTCTCACTTACTTACTACAAAGTGTTGCAGGGCAGGGTGAGGACACCCCATCACCCCAAACCTGCCCGTTCTAAATAGGTTCTGCCAGCCACCACACCAAGACATGGCATCTTCTAGTGCGTGAGACCTTTCATGGAGGGGAACTTTAATACAATTAGTGTGCAACAATGAAAAGGGGAAGAACAAAGTTTCCAAATCCAGCACCCAAAGTTCCCCGTCCCCTCATGGGTAAAGGCCCAGCCCAACAGGGTTAGCCCAAAACAGGGCCACTGAGTCTCGAGAGCTGCCCCAACTCAGGAAAGGGTCCAAAAGAGCTAGAACTCCCCACCTTGGGCCCCAGGGGCAGGGGTCACTCCATGAACGATCCAGCAACCCCTCCTGTCCTTCTGGGCTGGGCATCCTTGTTTCCCAGCCTTGTCTTTGCACCGGGAGGTGCATGGGGTCTGCTTAGGTGTTGTCAATTGGGTTGGCCCACTGCTGCATTTCAGAAGTCATGGTATGTTCCCTCTTGGACCATCTCACAGCAGTCAGGCTCATCTCCTGCGGTTCATTTTATTCAAAGTGTCTGCACATGTGTACAGCGATGGGGGTCTCTTCTCTGAGAAGTGACTGCGGGACTCCTTTGCCTGCTGTGTATCGGGGTCATTGGTTTCATTGCTCTTGGGTGTGTGCATCTGTGTCAGTGTTTGTCAGATGCAGGGTGTGCAAACACTTTATCCCTTTCTGTTGGTCACCTTTTTTGTGTGTGATGGTTGTTGTTTTTTTTTTTTTTAAGATTTATTTACGCATACAAGAACTGGGGTGCAGACCAGAGGTGGGGGGGAGGGGCAAGAGGATTCACCTGAGACAGAGCAGAGAACAGAACAGGCAGACTGACTGAAATACGCTGCTGAGGGGAGCAGCAGGCGAGACAGGAGAGGTCTGCTGCACCATGTGGGTTGCTCCCTGGCAGCAGGGGGATGAAACTCCTGCTGCAGTGGCTGGTGAAAACTTCACAGCACTCTTTAGCCCCTGTGCCACTGTTAGGGGGGAAAAGGATGTCCCAAAGCTAATTCCATACAGGCTTTGTGGACTCCACCCCCACCCTAGGTCAAAGTCAAAGACAATGGGAACTCCAAATCCCATCACCACCAAAGGGAAGGTGGCTGGGACCTGAGGGTGGGGTTAAGCAGCCAGGTGGATATAAAAGGCAGACATGTGGGCTTTGGAGGATCCCCCATTTTTGGCTCTCCACCAGCTCGCAGCGTCCGGCCAGCTCTGAGAGTGACTTTGGGTTTCCAGGTCGTCGGATCGGGTAGGACGCATTAAAGACTTTATTTCCCTATTTTCTCCCTGAGTTGTACATTTTCCTTATTTCTTTTTCTCTTGTAAATAAACCTTTTATTAACCCTTTTGTGTGTAGTAGAGTATTCATAAGTCTCTGTAGTAGAGTATTCATAAGTCCCTTTAAAGCGCGCGGGTGAGGACCCACAGCCAGGAACCCGTTTAATATCGGAGTTGCTCTATAACACCACTAGGGAGGCCCACTTTTTAAGTTTGTGTGGATCTCACTTTAGTTTCCCTTTTGACAAAGAGAGAAAGGAGGGATGAAGCTAGAAAATGTGCTCCATCAAGGGCAGCGTCAGGGGTGGGGAGTCTGGCCCCAGGCACTTCTCAGCAGCAGGATGAAGGGGTGTGGTCATGGAAATCACATTCTCCATCTTATCAACAAGGTGGGTGCTGAGCAGCTTCTGAGGTCCCTTGTCATGCATTGGTCTTCAGCCCTGCCACCCCAGCGGGCGGGCGGGCATTCCCGGCCCCATTTTGTGGTGCTCGCCCTTCCCTGAGCGATCTGGTCATGACCTCTGGGTGGATTCAAAAGGCACCTTCTAAGTTTGGCCTCTGACTGAGTGACCAGCTGGCTCCAACCTTGGGCGGGAAGGCAGCGCTGCAGGTCGCAAGATGGCGGCCGAGCAGGCTACTCGGGGTTCGCAGACCCACGGCCCCTGACCCCACAGCCTGAACCTCCTTCCAGTCCCCTGTGGGCTCAGCTCACCCGAGGGCGCGACTCTTATCCATGCTCACTGAATTTTCAGAAGTGGCGTTCAATGTATTCTTTAGTTTACCTTTATGATATCTTCTTCATTTACATAAAAGGAGTTGATTCTCCTTGCCAATGAGACATGTTTCCTGTTTAAAGATGGATTCACTGATTTAGCTTATCGAGTCATGATTACCAATTTAATGAAGTAAAGAACAGCGAACTCAATTATTTTGCAATGTAGAATAGGGTTCTCTTCCAAATCAGGTGTTTCAACTTTGTGTAGAATTTTAAATTCTTTTCCATTTGGTTTTCGGTGTCTCCCTATAACTAACGCTGGACTCAGTTTCCTTCAGCCAATAAAAGAAAACAGAGTTTGAGGAAAAGAAAAGTGGTTTAATTTGTCCACAAATGAGGACAGCAGCAGACTCATGTCTGAAAGATAACTGTCCTGCTCTTTGGCAGAGTGCGGGGGTATTTATACAAAGGGAAAAATATTGGGAGATGAACTAGAGTCTGCAAAGGGGAGAGGGAAGGGATCCATTAGCCTGGAGACAGGAGGACACCACCTTGCTTTTCATCAAACACCCTCTTCTTTGAAATGCAGGAGGACTTGTTATCTAAACACAAACCTGTCAAGCAAGGGGGAAATTGCAAGAAATAGGGGAAAGACAAACTTTTAAACTTGTTAAAGTTTATCTGAGGGACTGGTCATAAAGAAGACAAACCTGTCAGGAATTAGGGGAAATGTAACAGGGTGGTCCCAAGGAAAGGGGGAGGTTCCAGGTTTCCTGCCCCGCCCTAGGGAGGGTGGAGCTGAGCAGGGAGAAGAGGAAGCTGGAGAAGGGACTGAGGAAGGAAGGGAGCAGGATGGACAGCCAGAAGGAAGTCTGGAGGAGGCACACGGAGCTGAGAGACACTTGAAGAAACTGCGCTTGCCTTTTGGTCATGGACTGGTTGAAACAGATGTTGGTGAGAAACCTGTAGGGAGGATAACAATGGCGGGTTTTGTCTTGATTTTGATTTTGCTCTTTTCCTCCCAGACTTGTCTGGTTGTTTCTGATCCTTTTCTGTGTGTCCCCACTGGAAGGGGCTTTAGACTTGTGTCAGGCTTTGTGGCCTTGCTCTGGACCAATCCTGCTTGGGTGGATGTTTACCCATGAGGGACGGGTAACTTTGGGTGCTTGATTTAGAAACTATATTCTTTGCCTTTCCTGTATTGTTTCCTAATTGTATTAAAGTTCCTTCCCATTAAAGTCTCATATGTTTTGTGTTGATGCAGTGGATGGCAGAATCTATTTAGAGCAGGCAGGATTGCGGGGTCTGGGGTGCCCCTCTCCCTGCCCCTATAAAAAAAAGACAAACTTGTTAAACTTGTTAATGCCTATCTTAGAGACGTTTGTGACTGCATCATTTCTAATGCTCCTGGGGTGACGTAGCACCCGCCCTCCGGGGATGGATTTCATGTGCAGCTGCCCCACTATTTTGTCTTTGAATCCGATTCTGTTGGGTGTCCATTGAAGACATTTAGAAACACCTCACTCCTCTGAACATGGACCCAGCGGCTTGGAACTTTTTATCCCTGGAAGTTTTCAAAATGTGGTGTTAAATAAATAAAAGAAGTGGTAAAGTGGAGTGGTACCTGACCCAAAATAACTTACAGTCTGGACCTTCAGGATCTCTTGGTGTCTCTATTTAGCTAACCTGATGACATTTATTGCCTGATGGGCTAGAGCTCTCATCTTTCTCTTTCACAGGACAGTGATTTCAGCACAAAAGTCTCCAGGTTTATGAGATACCATCTTACACCAGTGAGAATGGCAACATATTAAAAAAACTAGCAACAACAAATGTTGGCGAGGATGTGGAGAAAAAGGAACTCCCCTGCCATGTTGGTGGGAGTGCAAACTGGTCCAACCACTATGGAGAGCTGTGTGGAGATTTCTGGACCTACTAAACATAGAGCTTCCATATGATCCAGCAATTCCACTCCTAGGTATTTACCTAAAGGACACAGAAACATCAATTCCAAAGAGCACCTGCACCCCGATGTTTATAGCTGCACTATTTACAATAGCTAAGCTTTGGAAACAGCCCAAATGCCCAAAAATAGATGACTGGATCAAGAAGATGTGGTACATATACACCATGGAATATTACTCAGCATTCAAAAAAGATAAACACATGCAATTTGCAGCAACATGGATGGCGCTGGAAGGAATCATGCTCAGCAAAATAAGCCAGAAAGAAAAAGAAAAATACCGGATGGTCTCACTCATAGCAGGAATCTAGAAAACTTAAATAAGGGACCAGGAAAAAGAATAACTATAAGAAAGTGAAAATCAAAATCAACAAACAACTATGAACCAGAGACACTCTATGGGTGGTGGGGCGTGGGGAGGGGAGGGATTGGGATCAAAATAAGGGGGTTGCAATTGTATGGGGAATATAAAAATAAAATTTATTTAAAAAAAAAAGTCTCCAGGTTTGCACTTGGTGCTGTCAGAAACAACCTTGTGAATTCCCAGGAATGAAGTTCTTCAGTAATATTAAAACTTGACCAGCCACCAATACATAAGCGAAGGTGTGAAACTTACCAGACACACTCTCCTGAGAATATATTCTAAGGAAAGAAATCAAAGAAAGGATAAAGCTATAGGTACAAATTTTTTTTAAGATTTATTTATTTATTTTTACAAGAACGGGGTACAGGCCAGATGCGTGGGAGGGTGAGAGGATTCACCAGAGACAGAGCGGGGAACAGAACAGGTAAACTGATGAAATACACTGCTGAGGAGAGCAGCGGGCGGCAGGAGAGGTCTGCCGCATCATGTGGGACCCTTGCCAGCTGGCCGGGATCGAACTGGCACTGCAGAGGCTGCAGACAGCTTCACAGCACGGCACTCACCTACCTGCGCCACCAAGGGAGGCCCCTAGGTACAAAGATGATTTTAACAGGACTATTCTTGAGAACAGAAACTGGCTACCACCCAGATATCCATCAGTAAAGGAATGCCAAGGAAACCATAAAAGCTCAAGGAGCAATTAGGCATCTGTGAAAAATGACAGGTAATCTGTGGTGAAGGGCTACACTGTCCACAGTGTCTGGCACATGTTGAACTTGGTAATCTTAAAAAATATCCTGGAGAAGGGCCTCCCCGGTGGCGCAGAGGTTGAGTGCTGGCTTGCGAAGCTGCCTGCGGCCTCTGCAGCGTCGGTTCGATCCCCGGCCGCTCCCTGGCCACCGGAGGAGGGTCCCACATGGCGCGCAGACCTCTCCTGCCGCCCGCTGCTCCCCTCAGCAGTGTACTTCGGTCCTTCTGCCTGCTCTGCTCCCTGCTCTGGCTCTGGTGAATTTTCTCACCCTCCCGCGCTTCTGACTGTACCCAGTGCTTGCATAAATAAATAAATAAATAAATCTTTAAAAAAAAAATATCCTGGAGAAAATAATCTTTTGAGTCAAAGAGCTATCTTTCTAGAGACACTCTGCTAGGAAACCGTCCTGAGCATAAGACGTAAACAGCCCAGGCAGCAGGTGGAAAGGAGGCTGGCTCTGCAGATTAAAGTGACTGTGAATCCTTCTCATCCCACTTCTTAAAAGCTTCCCTAAGATTGAACAGGTATTTATTAAAAAGAGGCTGGCTCACATGTGGCAATTTGCAGTGTTTGACTTTGGTCAGAAAAGTTGTGAAACCAGACGGAGACAACCAGTAAGTGACCACATGACCCAGAGTTGGTTCCCTTAAAGAAGAGAAAATCAAAGCCCACCTCAAGGACCATACAACCAACAGGAGAGAGAGCCTGTGCAAATCACAGATATCCAGAGAAAAAGGAACCCAAAGACATCTGAGTTATGGAAGCATAGTTCAAAGGACAACTGTCACTTTCTCGTGCAGTAACAGCCGCTATTTTAAGTATCTAAGAAAGAACACTTTCAATGTATTTAACAGATAAGATTCCTTTAATAAAATGCAAACAGGGGCCTCCGCTGGTGGCACAGTGCTGCGAGGAAGCTGCCCGCAGCCTCTGCAGTGCAGGTTCAATCCGCGGCCGCTGGCGAGGGTCCCACATGGCGCGCAGACCTCTCCTGCCGCCCGCTGCTCCCCTCAGCAGTGTCTTTGGTCTGTCTGCCTGCTCTGCTCCCCGCTCTGGCTCTGGCTCTCTCACTCTCCCACACTTCTGACTGTACCCTGTACTTGTACAAATAAATAAATAAAATAAATCTTAAAAAATATAAAAAATAAAAAATAAATAAAATGCAAACAGCCATGAGTAATCTATGTGTATTACTGAAAACAGCATATTGCGTGGCATTAAAACTGGTGAGGAAGATGGTAGTCTTTTCTTGCTGAAAGATTATTTAGGACTTTTTTGTTGTAAACAAAAATGAATGTCAAATATGATTTTCTGATGTGTTTGATATATGGGTGGTGACATCAGCAGTGTTAAATATTTCACCTTCAATGCTGTGGGCAGGATATGAAACCCCTGGGGCCTCTTTTCTTCTCATTTGTAAATCGAAGAGTTGAACAGATTGTAAGACCCTTTCAAGTTCTTAATGTTGAATGATGAAAACATCTGCATATGCATTAAGTTTCCCAGCTCCCCTTTAGCTAAACAGTATTGTTCTAGTCACTTTGCTTACATTCACTGGAATAAAACTAGTAAGATGGAGACCAAAGGAAATAGAAAAAAGGCAGACAAAATGTCGACCAAAACCATGAAGCCGAGATTATAGCAGGTCTCAGTTTCCCCCTTAGGACTGTATGTTATAGGAGTCTCTTCTTTTTTCCACACAAGAATTTTTAATAAGACCTCCCTTGACAAACAAAATCAGAGATATCTTTTATAAACCAGCAAGGGAGAGGAGTTTAATAACCCGCCAGCTCAGCGATCTTTTCTCTGCAATCACTCAGCTACTCCCAGCTGTCTCCTGACAGGAACTACTCCTTTGAAAGTAGAATTGGGAGAGAGGATCAATTTCTACCCTTAGGTACCTGAGGAGAATTTATTCTGCGTTGTTTCATTTTTCAGCTACTTCTTTAGCTTCTATGCCCCAGGGGGGACTGGAAAACTGCCTCTCTACTTATTACTCATTTCTTTTTAATATAATGAGTCAATTAAAGCATTTTGTACCAGAGCTTTATTGTCCCTGTGAAGAAGGAAGGAAGGGAAAGAGAGGCAGGGAATGCCTTATTCTATTGGGGTTAGCACACCCTAGGAGGAAAATTAAGGAAGAAAAGGCCATGTGCCTTTAAAAAAATTTCTATTTAACAATACAGGGTCTATTACAAAGCGTGAACCAACTCTCCCCAAGAGTGAATGGCAAAAGAAGCTAACTCCAGAGCAATTCTATGTCACCAGAGAAAAAGGAACTGAACCGGTGAGTGATACTCATTTACCATTTTCTGATTAGGTGTTTTGGGGTGTGTGGGGTGGGGGCATTGGAACAGATCTGACTACAAAACCTAATTCTTGGTTGGCAACTCTGCAAATCTGGTCCCTCCCTTGTCTGCTCCGGGCATCAGCACCATCCAGTTATAGAAGCCTGTAGCCTTCCCCTGCACACATCCCGCTCCGCCCTCCATCCCTCACCTGTTCTGACTACAGGCTAATAAGTGTCTGTATACCCCACCACGTGGAGTATATTATATTAAAACTACAGACCCACCTCACTGAGCTGTGCTTTGTCTATATTTACACTCTACCTTTAATTGGAGATTTCAAAGTTTCAGACAGTGAACTTGATTCCTGCTGTATTAACTCTTGAATTGGAGAACAAAATCTTACGCAATCCAGAGGACTATTCTCTGGCCTTTTTCTCAGACTTTGATGTTCTTGAATAAAAGGTGCTATGTAAATACGAAGCACAATTAAAGTCATCATTTGAATATTCGGCACAATAAGCACTGGGTTGAATCAGCCCGTGTGCTGCTTCATTGGGTGTACTGTAATTTCTCTCATTTGCACTTTGTCAAATTTGTACAAAAATTATTTTATTAAGGTGCTTAATATTGGGTTTAAAACTGCCAGATCATCTCCAGCGGATGTGAGAAACCTAAACATGATGTGTCTCATTTATTTTAGCCTTTCAGTGGGATCTACCTGGATAACAAGGAATCAGGAATGTATCACTGTGTGCTGTGACAGCCCGCTGTTCAGGTGAGGTGAGGCATCAGGAGGCACTGAAGAACAAGAAAACTCCAGGTTCATAAACTCCATCTTATTTGAGACCTTGGATAAATGCATACTTGTATTATTTTTAATTGCACTTCTCATTTGACATTGCTGCTATAAGGAGAGATTTCCATTATAAGATATTTGCCTGTCTTGCTGTTTCTGGCATTCAGAGAAGGTAACAAGACTTTTTAGCCTTTATTCTTCTTTTCTATATCCCTGAGAAATAGGGATTTTTCCTGGGGAAGTTTTTAAAGAAATCTAAACTGTAATAGTATTTGGTTGGCCATGTGATTAAAGCTCTCTCCCAGAGAAAATGGGTTTATAACTTAATTTAGGCAATGTAGAATTTTATGAGGATAGATTGCCCACGATGCCTGACAGTAGTGAATACCATGCCCTTTTCTATGTAGCTATAAGTAAATTTAATTGTCTCTTGATTTCAAAGCCCTTTTAAGTCAATCAGGATCTGAAATCTCTCAACAAAACCTTTTCTGTTTAGACATGCAGCAAACAGTCTTTAAAAAGTAGATTTGATGAAGAAGGAAGAAAAGCATCTTTGAAGTCCTGTTTTCCAGAACTTCAAAGATGTTTTCGTTTCTTTTGAATCAACCCTAAATGAGTTTAGAATAAAATACAAGTCAGCTCAGCTCAGTGAATCTTCTGTTAGGGCAGCGCCTTATTATGTCCTTTGGGCTGTGAGCAGGTCTGGCTTTCCTGGCTGCTAATGTGGACCGAACTTGGAAGCCAGAGCCCACGTGCAAGGATGAGGAACAATTAGGGTTGATTTTCCTCCATATTCAGGGAAGGTTAGGCCTTTGCCTGATCCCTTCACTCGCTGGCTCATGAAGAGATATCCAAGATGGCAGCCAGCCCAACAATGCCTGGTGTAGCGGCAGGAATGACACAGTGCAGGTTTTCTGATCCAGCAGACCGGGTAAAGGAGGAGTCAGAGTCCTCAGTGGCTTTTGCAGGTCTTTTATTTAGATTTACCAGGCACATGGCAGGCAGGGGCGCTGGGGGGCCGGGAGGCTGGCAGGCCTCCCAGCCCCTAGCAAGTCTTCACTCTATAGGGGCTCTCTCTGGCGTTCTCTCTGCTTCTCTTCTTCTCTCAGCTTCTGTTCATTCTTGGCTTCTGCTGCTGTCCCTATGACGCCGCCCCTATAAACTCAGTCTCTCAGCCCAGGTGTACCCACTTCAGGTGCCCGCCATCAGGCATGCATTCAGGACCACAGGGTTCCCTCATCTATCCTAATGGCGGGAGGGCAGAAAAACCTGATACTTTTTCCTTACCCTACACCTGGAAAAACTGGGAGAAATGGTTTATTTGGCCACAGTAAAATGTGGGACTCAAATTTCTGAGACATTAGTTCTTCCTTCACTTCTGATTCTGCTAAAGAGGAGGAGGAGGAGAATTTAGGCACAACCTGTATGCAGCCCAAGAACCAGGTTGTAAAATTGTGAAGGACTGCCATGTGCAGAAACCAGACAGAAGTTCTTTCTGTCACTGGACTGCGAAGACAAAACATGATAAGTCAGTCTTGTAGGAGCACTCACCTACATCTATTATATTCTTAATTTTTGTATTTTATTGGTGTTCCAGTGTCTGCACTAGTAATGATGAGCCCTCCTGCCTATACAGTGCCCACCATACCCCCATGGCCAATATGCAGGTGCATTCGTGAAATCAGAGAATGGTGGAGCAGGAAGGAGTCTGAGAGACTGGAGCAGAAAGTTCTTCCTAGTAGAACTTTCTGTAAATGTAAATGTTCTATATTTGTTCAACCCAGTATGGTAGCCACTAATCTCATGTGGCTATTGAGCACGCCAAATGTGATTAAAAGTTGAATTTTTAATTTTAATTAATTTAAACTTCATGCTACTGTGTTAGCACAATGCTAGTTCAAATTAAAGATACTATGTGACTAACCCCAGGGCCTAGAGGCAGTAAAGCAACCAAGACTAATTGGAAAACCAGCTGATTCTCTCCAAAATCCCATTTTGCCCCATGGCCAGTTTATCGAAATGTCAATTCACTAACCTTATTTGTTTCTTTTCTCATCACTTAGTCTTAGTTGACACATTTCCATTTTCTTAAACTCTTTTTGGGCTTCTTCCTATTATGTTTTCCCACTGCAGCAGCAGCTACTAAGCAAAAAGAATGTGTTCACAAGATTCTTTTCTGTTCTAGAACGTATTCTTCTTAAACATTTATTTGTTTTTAGGACAGAGCAGTCAAGTGGTTAACGTTGCCTGGATGTGCATCCTGGCTCCACTGCTGTGTAGCCGGGGCAAGTTTCTTAGTCTCTTTGCTCTGATATCTTTGCCTATAAAATGAGCATGATAGCAGCACTGAATTCATAAACTTGTTATGCGAACATTGTTATGAGTTAACACTTATAAAAGTATCAGAGTGATACCTGACAAGCACTCACGTTGTATGTTAGTGTTGATAGAGCCCTAGAGGGAGATCCTGAGGGCTCTATACTTGCATGTATGTTGATAACGAGGAGTTGTTAAGAATAGAGTCTAATTAATGAGAGTTCATACATGAAGACTATATTCCTGACCCAGCTTCCCATTAAAGAGGATAGTCTCAGGAATATATATTTGTTGGTCCTTATTTTCCCTCTGTCTGTCTCTTTCCAGTGTCCGGCCTAATAATAGGGAGGCAGGTAGAGAAAAAGAGAAACATCCCTTCAAATGCATGCATAGAGTCAAAAGGAAATGAAAAGTCGGTCACCCAAAATGGAAGTTATAGAGCCAACTAGATGTGGGGCCACTGCTCCCTGGCAGCTTCTTCCTGCCTGCTGCCTTGCTTCCAGGGCCTGCCAATATGGTACGTATTCTGGGAGAGCTGCTGACTCTACGTCAGAGACCGCTAACCTTGGGTTTCTGAACCAGACCTCAAACCTAGGCCAAGAACACTCTGAAGACATTGTCACTCCCCTGGGGATCTCAGACTGTCACTTCCTTAGCCTCAGAATTGTGTAACATTACCCCCTCACCTGGCTCCTCTGTATGCCGCCTTCTTCCTCCGTCCCCATTTGCCAATTCTGGAAGTGTTTATTAAAATCTATTGTGGGGGCCTCCCTTGTGGCGCAAGGGGTTAAGCAACGCACCATGAAGCAATCCGCAGCCTCTGCAGCACAAGTTCAATCCCCGGCCAGCCAGGGAGAAACCCACATGACGCAGAAGACTGCTCCTGTCTCGCCCGCTGCTCCCCTCAGCAGTGTACTTTGGTCAATCTGCCTGTTCTGTTCCCCACTCTGTCTCTGGTGAATCCTCTCACCCCCTGCATCTCTGGCCTGTACCCCAGCTCTTGTATGCATAAATAAATATATCTTTTTAAAAAATCTATTGTGGAATCACATATTTCATGGTCATAAAGCTTAGAATGGAAGGAAATTAGTTCACTTTTTAGATAACATCCTGATAGCCTACATGTTACAAGTAGCTTGGCAACATTGTTTGAAATTCTGTGTGTGTGCTGACTCCTAGTATTTCAAGGATATGGAAGTTCTTCCAAGGTATTATGGGGGCCAGTCATCACTGAATGCCTCTACTGTTGGTTTTGGGGCTGTGGAATTTCCAGAAACTGTTGTAGAAATAAGTTCTAGCCTTTTACCCAGGCAGAGGAAGAACAAGCAGTACTTCAGGAAAGTTGAGGTCAGGAGAAACTTTATTACTCATGTATGAGGTCCCAGACCTGGGTAGGCCTGTAAGTTCTGAGCACTGGTTTAAAGACCAAGTGTTCCTTTTATACACAACTGTGTCCATAACTGTTACATTGATAACATCATTTTTCAGCAGACACAACCATTTGTGGTAAAGTCCCCAGACAAGGGGGCAACGCAAGGGGGGAAAGATGCAGGCATTCGGGGATGGCCTTGGAGAGAGAAACCAGCTGGTCAGCTGCCCGACCTTGTAGATAAGAGTGCTGAGGCCCTGGCCATGAATCTTGAAAGGGAAGGAGCTGTAAGTAAACAAACTTGTTGATTATGCCTGCATTGGAGTGTTCATTGCACCTGGGCTGGAAGTTCTGCTGGAATCTTTATTATATTCATTTGCTCAATAATATATTTTCGCTTCAAAACAAAGGTGAAAAAAGCAAATAAATACATTAACAAACTAAACAAAGAAATCACCTCCAAGTATATGCTAGAAGAGATGGTCCAGAATGGTTTTAATTTTTCAAGGATGGGCCTTAACTGCTAATCATTTAAATATGTATATTGGATTTACTAATTGGCCTTAATATCTAGATTCCCAGTCTTAAATTATGTATCATGGGCTTCTCACATTACCTGGAAAAATCTCTGGATTCTGTTAATTGCATCAATAAAGGTTTATTATTTCCCATAATATCTTTTATTTATTTTTTAAAGACTTATTTTATTTATACAAGAGCCGAGGTACAGTCCAGATGCACGGGAGGGTGAGAGGATTCACCAGAGACAGAGTGGGGAACAGAACAGGCAAACTGACGAAATACACTGCTGAGGAGAGCAGCTGGCAAGACAGGAGAGGTCTGCTTGCCATGTAGGTTGCTCTGAGGCTGGTGGATCAAACCGGCACTGCAGAGGCTGCAGACAGCTTCACAGCGCTGCGCTCAACTGCCTGCACCACCAGTGAGGCCACCCCATAAAATCTTTTAAATGAATTTTTATTAATCTTAAAATGACTATTTTCATAATTCTCCATCAAAATTCCTTTAATGATCACTAGTTTATATATAATGTTGAGGGTTTAAAGGCTATGATTACAGATACTTAAGAAGTTTTGTCCTAGGCCAGACCAGTTCAAATGAGTATTTTTGAAACCATATAAAAGGATTTCAAAGCACCAAAACTGAATGTGAAGACTCTTATAATTGGACTCATGACTCCTCATATTTCATGGAAAATCAGTAATAATGAAATAAAAAAAATAAGTACTAAAGTATGTACCATTTGTTCAACATTATGCTGATACACTATATAGATTGAAAGTATCTAAATTAATCCTTTCAACCATCCTGTGATGTAATAATTCCATTACTATTTTATAAATTAGAGCATTGGGGCTTTAAAATATTCAATAATTTGCCAAGTTCACCTATATGTAACATACTGAGCCTTGACTCACACCCGTGTCTTTCAGAAGTTGAGGCCCTTACTCCTAAAAGTTAGACCTTTGATTTTCAGAGCATGGTCTCAGGTCTTTACATGATTCTTCTTTTTTAAATAGCGTATCTCAGAGACCACATCCTTTTCTGGTACTTAAGCCAAAACTACATCATAGCAGAGTGTATGCAGAAGCACATAGAAGATTCGATTGTCTTAAGAAGAAATGAATTGTAATCTGTAGTTCTCTCTTTTCCTCAGATACAGACAGCCATCTCCCCACTATTTAAAATTTAAAAACCTCTTTTCCTGCTGCCATTTAAGGGGCCTCCTCTTTCAAAGCACTTAGAGAGTGGGTCTTAGGTGAGTAGATCTGCTTGCTGCCTTCTTCCAGCTCCACCTCCTCCAGCCTCCACAGCCTTCAGCATCCCTCCTCCTTTTGGGTGTTCCCCAAAAGGTGAGTCTTCACTCAGGATGCTTCCTCATCAACACTAATTACAGCCAGCATTCAAGAGCACTTACCATGTGCTCCACAGAGTATCTCCTTAAGTCCCCCAAATATCTCCATAAAGTAGATATTATTCCCATGTTACAGATGAGAAGTATCTGGGAGAGGCCACACAGCTTGCCTGACTCCACGACAAGGAAGTCCTGGCGGCAGCTGTGAATCCCTGCAGGCCGCCATGCTCCTGTCTCAGGTGGTCCACAGTGTCTTGCACCCAAAATGGCCGCTTCATCAGCTCTCCTGTTCCTGGGATGTGCCATCCTTGGTGGCCCCTTTGACTGCTTTTTCATTTCGTGTTTCCCCTTTTCTACAGTTAGAGCACATGGGTTTGATTAGAGCTTTCTAAAGGGCCACATAGTTCACAAAGCTGCCAGTGTTTTTAGGTCCTCCTCAGACATTGCAGGAGAAGCCGTTAGCATCAAAGGCACAAGCAATCCTTTCACTGTGATGAGGCCATGTCTCTCACAGTGACGGTGCAGCGGGCAAAATTCCTAGGGATCCACTGATTCAAGTAACTGGCCTTGGGATCTGGCAGGAGAGAGAGGAAGTCGGGTCCTGCTCAGTAGGAGAATGTGGCCTGACATGCTGCTGGAACGTTAATAAGAGTCTCTATAGCAACTGCACGTGTCAATGTCTTTCCAGTTCTGAGGAGAAGCACTGCCGGCTCTGGATGGCCTTCATTTTCTGAGGCTCAGGGTAAATCTGGCTCTGACGAGAGTAACATGGGGATCCTGAAGCAAGTGGACACCTTCCTGGGATTACTGTTCACTGAGGTGGTCTGCAAGCAGGTGGGTGTTCGTTGTACCTGCTGTTTTCCCTGACACTGCCCCGGTGCACGGGCATTCTCATGTCCTGTTATTCCCTGGGGGACTGTTGTCACTAAAACACATCGGGGTCCACTTGGGCTGCCTTTGCTCCCTCTTTCCCATCATCCTGGACACTGCGGGTAAGTCCTTCCTGCCCCACTCACTGAGTAGTTTTTCCTGGTTCTCACTTCCAGAGATGAGAGCAGAAGGAGGCTCCAGAAGAAGGAGAGACAGCCCTTCACATGATTTTGAACAGGGACAGGCAGCATCTCTTGCCTGCATCCCCTTCTGCAGCATGTGGCCCAGACAGAGCCACACTGCGGTGACATCAGCACATTCTTCCCTCTGTGAGCCTGGCAGAGAGAGTGGATTCATTCCAGGCAGCACACTCCTTTTGATATCCTTGGGTACTCAGTGTCCTCGCTTGGTGACACACGAGAGGTGAGCAGATAAACAGCACAGTGTTATCTTCAGGAAAAAACACTAAGAATACACTGGCTAACGCATTATTGAGAACTTACCCAGGAATTGTGTTCATGCTTTACATGCATCTTATCCATTATTACAACTCTGTTAAATAGTAGGTATAATTATGATCCCCATTTTATAGATAAGCCAGTCAAGGTCTACATTAAATAACTTACAGTCTCACTGATAAAGTTGAGCTACTTAGCACTAATGTACTCTGCATTTTTTTATTCCTTTTTTTTTTTTTAGTTTTTTGATTGAGATAACATTGGTTTACATCGTATTTTGGAAGCACAGGATCTCCCCTTCTGGCGATGTTATCACAACTCTCCCATGAACCAGAGCACCCATGATCCACCACCGTAATCCACTGTGCTTGTTCCTTCTCCTTCCCCTCACGTCTGCATGTGTCAGTTCCATAGTGGACTTTCTATGGCTAGATTTTTTTTTTTGAAGATTTTTTTTTATTATTTATTTATACAAGCACTGGGTACAGTCAGAAGCGCGGGAGAGTGAGAGAATACACCAGAGCCAGAGCGGGGAGCAGAGCAGGCAGAAGGACCGAAGTACACTGCTGAGGGGAGCATTGGGCGGCAGGAGAGGTCTGCGTGCCATGTGGGGCCCTCCTCCGGGGGCCGGGGAGCATCCAGGGATCGAACCGGCGCTGCAGAGGCTGTGGGCAGCTTCGCAACCCAGCGCTCAACCGCTGCGCCACCGGGGAGGCCCTCTATGGCTAGTTTTTTAGTTTGGCTTTATCTGCCCCTTTGTCCGGTTTCTCTATATTCCATATAGAAGTGATAAGCATCTGGTATTTGTCTCTCTTCCTGACATATTTCATTTAGTATAATCCCTTCTAGCTCCATCCATGTTGCCACAAATGGCAGGAGTTTATCCTTTGTGATCACTGAGCAGTATTCCTTTGTGTATATATACACTACATCTTCTTGAGCCACTCCTCTGTTTCTGCACTCCCACATTCATTGGGGTAGAATTTCCACCACCAGATGACAGACACTGGAGTGGGGGGGCGTGGAGGACGGGAAGATGGGTAGGGGATGTGTGCCCTGTTGGGTTCACCTATCTGGTTTCACACAAAAATCTTTGGCTCAGTTGAGAAATGACCCTGGCTTCTCTCTTTTGCAGTGTGACGCCCACCTTGGCCACATGTTTCCTGGTAGACCTGGACCTGCTGGTCAGAGGTTTTGCATCAACAGTGTGGCACTGAACTTCAAGCCAAGGAAAAGCCGACTCTGTCCAAGAGACCCTTTTCCCTTGCTACTCCCTCATTTACACCCTCAGTTTTCATAACTCACAGGAATGACCTGTTTTATTTACTGTCAAAGGAGTTTAAGTTTGCAGCTGGCACCAGGCAAGTCACAATTTCCCTAATGTATTTATCTGGAATCAACCTTGGTCTAGGAGTGATTGTAGAATTTCACAGAATGACAGAGCCATTTCCATCAAATAGACTTGTGCAGGCATTGCTTGGGTCCAGAAGGCATCACTGTTGGGACACTAGGAGGTGATGGATTATAAGCCAAAAATCCCTACGAAACTACCCTGAACTTCCATTGCAAGTTAAGTCCTTTGTAGATAATATAGCTAAGGGATCAAATGGAAAGAGGAAAGAAAGCAGATTAAAGACATCAGCCGTACCAGCACTGAGAATGGCACCCGGGAGAAGGATGTGGACGAGCTGTGCTTTGGGAGGCAGCTAGGATGATCAACAGGATGTATGATTTTTTTCCCCTTATATTTAAATTTTTTTATTTTTAAATTTTTTTTAAGATTTATTTGTTTGTTTGTTTATTTATTTATTTATTTATGCAAGCACTGGGTACAGTCAGAAGCACGGGAGGGTGAGAGAATCCACCAGAGCCAGAGCGGGGAGCAGAGCAGGCAGAAGGACTGAAGTACACTGCTGAGGGGAGCAGCGGGCGGCAGGAGAGGTCTGCGCGCCATGTGGGAACCTCCTCCGGGGGCCGGGGAGCAGCCAGGGATCGAACCGGCACTGCAGAGGCTGCGGGCAGCTTCTCAACCCAGCGCTCAACCGCTGTGCACCGGGGAGGCCCTCCCCTAAAATTTTAAATGTATTGAACATTCCAGTTTCAACCTTTTTACTCATAGATAAACTACAATGACAGTCTGTTAGATTTCAGTGATAATAAATAAAAGTGGTTATTAAATTTTAAAATGCTCAAATAAAATATCAAATTTTTTTCCTTTTAAGTCTGTGAATTTGTTCTTTCATAAAAATGGCTCTAAATCAAAAAGTAATTAAATCACATGGTGGTAGGCATTTGGTTAGACCAACACTAAGAGGAAGTAGTGTTCTAAAATTGAGTCTTGGGGGGCCTCCCTGGTGGCGCAAGGGGTTAAGCATCACACTATGAAGCAATCTAAAGCCTCTGCAGCACGAATTCGATCCCCCAGCTAGCCAGGGAGCAACCCACATGGCACAGCAGACCCCTCCCGACTCGCCCACTGCTCCCCTCAGCAGTGTATTTCAGTTGATCTGCCTGTTCTGTTCCCCACTCTGTCTCTGGTGAGTCCTCTCACCCCCTGCATCTCTGGCCTGAACCCCAGCTCTTGTATGCATAAATAAATAAATCTTTAAATAAATAAATAAATAAATAAAAATAAAATTGAGTCTTGAATAATTTGCTATTGAAAATTTTAAATCATTTTCTTTGAGACTTTTTTGGACAGAAAGGAAACTTATTCTGTTTTTCTCTTTATTGGTATACATTACTTAAAGTTTCTTTTTTAAATTTTACCTTGGAAATCACAGAATGCATCCTTAACTATAGTCATATAAAAAATTATTAATTTTTCTACTCCAACAATGCTAACCTTAGAACACAAATTCCATTAATACCTGTCCATATTTTGTTTTATTATTGTCATGTATTTTTTAAACTCCACAAATCATTATTAATGTATATGTTGACATTCATTTATATCCACCTTCATATTTATACCTTCTCTTCTTCATTATTTATACATGCAGAGGTGCAGGGGTGAGAGGATTCACCAGAGACAGACCAGGGAGCAGAACAGGTGGATTGACTGAAATACACTTCTGAGGGGAGCAGCAGGTGAGTCAGGAGAGGTCTGCTGCGCCATATGGGTGCTTCCCTCGCCAGGGATGTGCTAAAGTAGTTGCAGATAGCTTCATAGTGCTGTTTCTTAACCCCTTGCACCACCAGGGAGGCCTGAAGAACTCTTTTTAATTTGTCTTTTAGATCCTGATTTCTACTGATGAATTTCATATATTTCGGGAAGTAATCTCAGCTCTAGATGACTTAATGTGTGCATTGATTCTCTTGGTGAGAACCTTGCTCTTAACGTGTTTGTTTACCACAATGCTGAGGGCATGCTCAGTGGCACTGTAGATTCTGCCAGTCTTGCCATGGTGATGTGTGGGGCATCCCTTTTTGAATAGTGCCTAGTTATGTCCACAATGTCATCTTTCTTGCAGATTCTTGTGTATGTGGCCAAATAGCTCCATGCTTTCTACATGACCTAGAGAACTTAGAATAGGTTCCTCTCCCCTCTCCCTTTGTGTTCATTGTTTTTGAAAATTAATGAAAGATGGCAGTTCTAGATGAAGACCTAATAGCGTTTTGACTCCTCCTGTGGTGTTCGATAAATCAAGATACTTTGTGCTGGATGTTGGTTGTGAATACAATTTATGTGCTATATTCTGGCTCTCAGATTTTATTGGGTTTTAAAATATATTTAATGTAATATATTTAGATCATGTAATATATTTAGATCAGTTGAGATCATGTTACAAAAATATAAATCATCATTAAAAGTTATTCATCATCATATTATAAAAAATATAAATCTTTATTAGGGACCGCAAATTCCATTTGCTAGCTGTTATGCTATCAGTTTTAAAAGTCCCTGGTGACAATTTCATTTGCCTGTCAGTTAGATTCTAATGCTTTACTTTTATCCCTGTATAATAGCTTGAGGAAATATTTTTATTCTAGAAAAGAAGGAATCTCAGGAAGAATAGTCCTGTACTTATATAGTGGCCATTTTTCCTTGACATTAAATGTGGATTTCCATTTTTGTCCCTTTTTGTTTCTTTTTTTTACAAAAGATTTATTTATTTATGCATACAAGAACTGGGGCACACGCCAGAGGTGTTAGGGGCAGAGTGGGGAGGTGAGAGGATTCACTAGAGACCAGAGTGGGGAACAGAACAGGCAGATCCACTGAAATACACTGCTGTGGGGAGCAGCGGGTGAGACAGGAGGGGTCTGCTGTGCCATGTGGGTCACCTCCCTGGCCAGGGATTGAACTCTTGCTGTAGTGGCTGCAGGTAGCCTCATAGTGCTGCGTCTTAACCCCCTGCGACACCTGGGAGGCTCCTGTTTTTGTTTCTTTCCACACAGCAACCTGCTGTCATTGCTCCATTCTCCCACCCCTTCTTTGCATCGTCCACAATTATAAAAAAGAAATTGTAGTTGATCTAATTGTCAGAGATTATGAATAAAAGCCCTTGGCACTCATAGAATCTCAGATGGAATCCTCTAGACTGGAAGGATGGGGGGAAGACCCATGCAGAAAATACTGACTCATTAGAAAAGGCTCCCTCTTGCCAACATGACTCTTTCCTAAGGTGGTTTGCCAGACTTGGAGAGTGTTTGCCACATCTGTTAAGTTTTCAACCTTATTTTCATTTAAGAAGGACCCTTCCTAAAAATAGAAACAGTTATTTCTGCCTTTGTCTATCCAGATTTCCAGAGGCTTCTGCCATTCAAACCAAGTCCTAACTGTGCAGCCACTCTCATGTTGAGTAATCTAGTGGAGGAATGGTAGCAACTTAATAAAAGATTATTTTGATCTACTCTCCAAGCATGATTTTCTTTGGCCACATAAAAAAACCTTAGTCATTTTAATTGTATTAGCTACTTTGTAGATTAACCTGATATCCAGAACTTTCACACCTACCTCTCACCAGTGTCTGCATCTTGTTCTGAATTGTAAAGTTAGACTTGGCTTTAATGTCAAACTTAGAATGCAACCCAGGAGGCAACCTCCTGGATTAAGACTTAGGACTCTAAAGGTATTTTGGACACACCATTGGTCTGAGAGGATGTTCTCAAGGGTAATCAGGGTTTGATTCTGCCCTGGCAGAAGCCGTAAGTAGCATTATCCATTCCCTGTGAGACAAGGGCGATCGGAATGCATCACATTACCAGTGACCTTGAAATTCCTTGTCTGTTAACCACTGACATTGTAAAGTCACCCACGAGAAGGCACTGGGGCTTCAGGACTCCAGGGAAGGCCATCTCAAGACACCAATAAGCAAGGAATTCCTCAAAGAATGGGCAATTCCCAGGTTTGTCCACCTGATTTCCTCTCCTTACACTCTGGCCTTTCTCTGCATCTTAAAATGCAGTAATTGAGCCCGCTCCACCTCCTCTAGTCCTGGGTAGTAGGGATGGGAGATTGCCCATTTCATCAAAATTGGGAGCAGCCCACCTCCACCACCTCCACCAACCACCCCCGCCCCATCGGGCTGTTTATGTCTATGAGGTTATCCAAGACAAGATCCTGAACTCCCAAAGGGCAAGATGCCCTTAGGTTTGACCCTTTATCCCCTTCCCTGAGAGTTATGAACAAAAGAATAATTCCTGTTACATTTCTGATGCTGATTGTGGAAGGGGGTGGTGAGAGATGAGGGTGGAGGGAATATTCTTAGTAACTAGGAGTATTTGGCTGATTGGTAACTGTTTACAGCTTGTTTCTTTCTAGCTCTACTCCTTGAAATCATTTTCTTTGTAAATGTTAAAAGCCATATTAAAAAAAAAACCCACCTTGATTACTCTTCTTTGTACTTCAATCAGCAGCATGTCAGCATCTGAATAAACTGTAATTCCTTCCTTGTGCCTGTCAAGGAGAACATTTAGGCCACATTTAAAAAAATATCTTGGTAGGGGTCTCAAGAACAATTAGCAATTAAAATAATCTATTTTCTACCCTTTACTATATCAACACGGCTGCTTGATTGATTGCACAGTCTCAGGCCTGGCTTTGATCGGAAGTGGCCTCTTCACCAATTCTGCTCCTTTTGGAATCACCAGAGGCATCTTAAGTCTTCAGATGCACTCCCGAGATTGTGAATCTATTAGCGCATCATTAACATTAGAACTGAACCTGACACCTTTCCAGAGAACATGCTTCTCCGGGTCACCAACACTGCCCTCAAGTCTCCACGACTCTGGGACTAGTGACTTAGTAAGAAACCAGTTCACCAGGGACGTGCTGGTGGGAGTTCTAGTGCATCAGGGCATAAAGCTAAATTA